ATGACATTACCCTTCAACTATCCTATCTTTCTCATTATAGCAATATTTTGCTACAGTTCGCCCGAAACACTGACCAATGCAACCAATATGCTAGGGGGTGTCGCAGTCAGATTACATAACGTGGACACCAAAATAACTGGCCAGAAAATGGTAATTCCCATCAATCCAGATAAGATTTAGCAAAATTTTATTAAAAATTATTGACAAAAAATTTTCCGAGTGAAATTTTAACAGCTGTTCTAGAATGTGATATTTAACGTCTAACCACTGCTGATTGTGCATGGAAGATCGTTAGACAGGATATTTAGTTCTTGCGGCATATTAGCAAACGGCTAAAAGGTTGTGACAACGTAGGTAATGCCTTTAATAGACCGTCCAGAGGTACCATTCATCACTCTTTTTCGGCAGACATCTACGAGTAGATCATGATAGTCGAGTAGGCCAGTGCCAATGATGGTCGCTGTCATGCCAGCAAATAGAAAAATCCACCGAATAGGTTTGCGCAAACCTAAGTATAGATAGACGTATTTCCTCCGTAAGGTCTCAATAGATTCTTAATTCGCAGCCTGTAAGTTGAGGGTAGGTTCTTTCTGTTGATTTGCCCCTGTAGCAGAAAGAAGGCAGACTTCGGCTCCTGCGTCAGTCAAGTACCGGGTCTGGTTGACTACATCATGGATGTATAGTAGGCGACTACTGTCGCCGGTGCGTTTTCCCATAGTCTTGCAAAAATTACAAGGTTTTCCGCAACATTTTGCATCATGGCCATAGTCATTATTGTGCCAGCACCAGCCAGGGTTTGTAAGTGTAAATGGTTTGGATTTAGACCTACCACATGAGTTTCGCTGTTAAGCGGAATTCGATCGACGGCATTAAGAAATAGCTTAAGTGGTTACCTAACGAAGTTGCACAACTCTATCACTGCAGTATCCTCATTCGAAGACTGTTTAACAATCGAGCACATTTCCGTGACTGTTGTGTTATTTCTAGAACTTCATCGGCAAAAGTAACGAAGTCGTCTATGATTACACCTTGAATTGTTACAAGCACATCCTGTACTGACTGTGGTGGTTTGGATAAGAACAGCTCTCTGGAGAATCCTCAATCGAACTGAAGTTGGCCAATAACTTCCCGCATTCTCGTTAGCATGTTCACAGCCGACCGATCACCCAACTCGACGCTACAAAATAGTTAGTCAAGACGCTGGTACTCCGTGAGGTTGTTTTCCTATAAGAGGGTTGCTTTAAGCACCTCATAGGGATTGCTCATCTATGGGCTTGATGTATGCACAGTCACGCATTTGCTTTATTCCCGCGGTAGGGCGTGGACAACTGCAAGGAACTGTGAACGTTGGTCAGTGATCCCATGTTCACTGAAATCAGACTCGGCTGTCTGAAGCAATGATCCACATTATTTGGCGAAAATGGCACGAGCTGAATAGCTTGTTTAGTTAGTCGGATAAGGACGACCTAAGGTGTATGGTCACTCATGAAGAAATATATACTTCGAAAATAGTACAAGGACAAATACAAAGTGGAACAAACTCACTTGATTTGTCTGCGTGTGTACCAGAGATGAACTTCGTAATAGGGCGCGCCAGTTTAGAGGCTAAATATATTGATATTCATGGATGGTACGAAGTGTACAAACGCAAGATCTTGTACCCACAACTTCTATAGTATTCGTTCCGCTTTGACCAAAGGAAAAGGAAAACACCAGAATTGATCGTCCAAATTACGAAGTATATTTCGGGACCGTATCGGAGTGCGAGATGTTCATCTGATTAGCCAGGGTTCGTTCACGAAACGAACGTAACACGACGGCATGCCAAATGGCGTGGACGCTTAACCATATGTATTCAGCTAAACAAGGTGACTTCAACGGTGAGGGTCAGCGTCCAATGTTTAGTGATGAATACTGTGACTAACAATTCTGAAGAATTACCTGCAACTACACTGTCTATTCAACCACATCGGACGCCTAATAAGTAAAAGCACCAACTTCACTCATCGTGGCAACGCAGACTCAGCACAGCACATACTACGAACCATATATAATCAATCCCTTTGGGGTCAATCACACCTAAGGCAGTCGAGTAGCGGGACGAACTATGCAGAAGTTTACTGAAAACCAGGAACCTTTTATTCACAGCCAAGAAGCAAGCAGAAAGAAATCAAATTGGTTTACTGTAGCTGATATAATAAAGACTGGATTTTGGATCCAAGGCCAACTCAAGGCTATAGATTGTGCAGTTTCAAACTTTTATTTCCTGACACGCTTGGGATTTCTGAGCCAACCTACGGTTCCAGAAAGCGAAATTAGCAGGATTACCTTATCACTGCAATGAAATTGGCTTTTGTATGCTCACTTTAACTTCCTTGATGCAACGTATTTCTATAACAGGTAACAGGATCTAACAAGGGTATTGGATATAGCATTGTTGAACAACTTGCAAAATTTTACAAAGATTCAGGAGATTGGGATATTTATTTGACAGGTATTTAAATATTTCACTGTCAAATTTGGTAGCGCGAAACGTCGAACTTGGTCTGGAGGCTGTGAAAAAGCTTAGTAGCAAGGGCCTAGATGTCAAATTTCACCAATTAGATATAACAGAACCAGAGAGTCGTAAAAGTTTCCTTGAGTTCGTACGGAAGAATTATCCTAGTGGTATAAACATTGCGGTGAATAATGCGGCTATCGCGTACAAGGTAGTTTCAGGAAAGGATTTACCTACATTTTTAGGAAAACTCACCGGTTCCATTCGGTGAACAGGCACGGGTTACAATAAATACTAACTTCACATGCACTGTTGACTTTATTGAAGAGACTATTCCTTTATTGGCTGAAAATGCCAGGTATTGTGCATAGATAAGATTTATTCTCACTCTGTAGAGTTGTCAACGTATCTAGTTCTGTTTCATTGTTCAGTCTTAAGAAACTAAGCGATGAGTTGTACCACAAATTTGTTGGTCCGATGAATATTTCAGAGCTGAGAGGACTTATGGCCGAATTCGTAAAGTAAGTTTCGCGACCTGAATCACCATTTAAGGTAAACATTCATATATTAGGGATGTAAATAAATTAAAATTTGCATTTGGGTTAAAAAATCAACAAGCGGAATTCGCGGTATGAAATTGCAAAATGAGATGATCAGAAGAATGGAGAGTGTGTATAAGCGTCTGCGAAAGGCTTGCGTACTTTAACAGGTATTTGGACTGAGTCTTTTCATTCTTTATCTGCAAAGACTGACTTGGCTTTCTCACCTATAAAGCGAAAATTCGCGGTAAAAGTTCAGAAAACCTACATAATCAAATGAGGCATAGAAGAATTATTGGCGCTAGATAACTAGCCTATGAAATATATCAGGAAGTTCAGAAAACTCAACTAGATTATCGGAATTTAGCTATGTGTAAAGTGACTAGCTCAAAAATAACCCTACATGGAAGAAAACCTGGCTACTGTGATGCTTGTTGTATGATACTGTAGGGGCAGAGCTCCAACTGTGTAGATAATATAGATGGTTGAAGGGAGAGGTTGGTCACTGAGTCCTTGTTGATCTTACCTACAGCTAACACATCCAGTAGAACAATGCAAGACTTACATCAGAGACGTGGGGAATGTTACAAAAGAAAGGATAAGAAATAATGGGGCTGCATAAGGAGTCTGACTCATTTGATTACATTGCTTCTTATGGTGAGATGTGTGCACTGCTCAGCAGCTCACTTTGTCCATTATGATTGTGAGACCTGGCCGTTGAAATCTGAAGACATGAAAAAGTTAATTATCTTTGACCACAGGTGTCTTCGATCAATCTCGTACTAATTGGTATGATGAAGTGTGCAATAAACAAGGGTAGATATTGGAAGAAAGTTAGTTGATTAAGATTGTTGGGACATATGTTACGCTCTTTGCACTACATTAATGTAGTTCAAAGTTGATTACTGTAAAGGAACTCTCTCATCAGAACTTCCTGCATATTATCTGAACAGAACACTGGTCTAGAGAAAACACCTATCACGCCTCACTTATTTTAGTATTAGTTCATCAACAGTATTAGTTCTCAGTGTGAATAAGATCAATTTGTCTTTATCCCGACCGAAGTCGTATGAAGTTCTGATATCCTACTGGAGTTATTAATAATTAATTAAAAATGCCCATTAAAATTTTCAGAAGAATGGGTACTGAACAAAGAGTACTCTTTTCGATAACTTCATCATTAGGCTCTACAGTTATATATACATTATAGTGAATGAATTAGTGTTATGAACAGCATTAATGCTTAAATAACATCAAATCAATAATATTGATAGATTACAGCTCAATAGCATCAACATAAAATTAGCTGAATGTCAGAAAAATTAGAGAGATAATATTACAAATTCTACTTAATGTCAGGGCATTAGAAGTGGCTGGACTTGCTTCTTTTGAACACAAAGCACTAGTTGTTTGAGGGGAATTGCAATAGCCTCTGCTGTTTGGAGCATGCAGTGTTTCGATGATTTTAATAATTTCACATAAGAGTAGTCTTCGTACATGATTTAAACGGCGAAGTTTATAAAGTAGATATTCTTAGTAGTTGTAACCTGTGACTAGGTATTTTGCGTTCACCTAAAGTTAATATTCCCCTTCTTCTCGTGACACATCACCTGATATCCGGATTGTACTGAGTTTGTATTTCTTAATGAGTGATAAATAAATAATAACGTCATCCATTATGCTGAGTGAAGTATTGTCTTTCTCTGACCATTCTCCAAGATAATCGAAATTTGCTTCCACAAGATAATTCTTGAGTTTTGTATTTTTGTAGCAAAGTCATAACAAACACGTTATTTAGTCATTGTACGACTCTGTCTGGTACTCATTCGGTCTCATAAATCTCAACGTGTCCCACGTATTAATTTGATTTTCGACTTTTTCACATCACTTGTTCATTTTGTGATACGTGCGCATTTTAAGTCTTTTCCCCCTTGTGATCCTGTTCTTTTTTCACTGGTCAATAGGTGTGCTGAGGATGGAACTCACTCCGCGAAAGGTTGGCCTTCGACTGCATATGGAGTATCCAAACTAGGCCTAACGAAAGCTTCCTTCATTTTCGGAGAGATGTTGAAAGATGATCCCAGAAAAATTGTGATGAATTCAGTTAGTTAACCCCTTAATACTTTGTCGTTTTCGCATTTACTTTAAATTAATTTCATGTTTATGAAACTGATGCTTTGTATTGAAACAATACATAATCGGTAGGTAGTAGCTGTAGTACGCTGCAGTGAATAACTTTTCTCCTTTAAAAACATAATATTGATTGAAAGTTATTGTACCACTGTTATATATGCAGTTGTATGTGAATGCTTCTATGTATGTAAATCAGTTGCTCACCTTTGTGATCCAGAATGTGATTGGTTTTATTGGCTGTTCTGTCATCACTATGTCGCTCTAGAGTAACACGAAATGATTCATCAGTGAATTACCTGCAGAGTTGAATTTGACCAGTAATTCCTGGCGTTGTCGTTCATGTAACAGATGCTTTTAATTTATTATTATGTACATTTAATGTTGTAAAAGCAGGAGTCTTATTTTTCAACATTTGTACTGTATACGTTAATAATAATAATATGCTTTATTCCAGAAACGGTACTAGTGGTACAGTGTGGAATTTTCAGCACATATCTACAATATTTGCATCTAATTTTACCGACATTTATAATAAGTATTAGACAAACAAAAAAAAATAAATCTGAAGACACCAACAGCAAAAAAAAACAGGATAAACACAAAATAATTATAAATGCGAAAAAGTACCAAAGTCTACCAAGGTCTAATGCAGTGTTTGTGGTGGTAGTGTGAGTAATCCTGAATAATACAAAATTTTTTAAGGTGGTGACTATGGCGTTCACAACCAATGATTGTCAGTTTAATATTGCCGAAAAGTATAGAAAATAAGAAAAAAACAACCACAAAACTAATAATTACATGATGGTTAATGACAGGACAATTTTGTAATACGCATAGTGCTAATAGAATCGGAACCAGTGGATACACAATAGAAGGAATATAGTAAAGTACAAAAAAGGAAGCCAATGTTAATAATTTAGGTAGCTAAGTATTTTTGAGAAGGAGTTCACTATAGAATACAAAATAAGAGAGAAATAAAAGAGCCTAAAATTATGTTGTTAATAACAAAGCAAGTCATAGGTTTCACACTTAACATTGTCTCTGTCGCTTAGAACACGGGCCAAGTATGGTATCGTTGAGTTCCTGTACTTGGTTGTACGAGCATAGATTATTTTATACTGATTTCTGGTTTTACTTGATGAGATACAAGGAGAGAGTTGGGAATAGAGGGGGTGTTGGGGGTCGGAGAGTATGGTTTTTGACCATTTTTCGCATGTATTCAGATGCCTGTCAACTAAAGTAGTGACGAGCTGACTGAGATTTACACCACTAGTCCTACTGACTACCTTCAACATCCTTCTCAGGATGGTTAACTAATGCTTAAATCAGCCTTGGATAGGTTTGCTGCAATAGATGAGTAATAAGGACGCAAAATATTCGCTGCCACAACATGATTTGTAATGCATAAATAATTCCTTCGAAATTTAGCCTAAACGACCACGTAGTGGAGAAAGTTAACACATGCACCCATTTTTTTTCTCACGTCACCTATCGTAAATATGGTATGATAAAGTGGGAGTCACCTTGTCTTTAATCTTGATCATATAGGGAAATTAAAAGGGCACATGGCCCTTGAAGTAGTTTTAGTTGGATACTGTTCAATGTTTCTTTTGTGAGCGTAGAGTAGTCAATATTAACAAGAACAATGGTGTGGGAAGTGTAGTAAGTATAAAAAGATGACTGAAACCTTATCACTTTGACTCATTGTCGGTGCCTATTTTACAGGTGCTTCGACAAAGTTCTGAGTTTTGTTGTGCAATTCGTGGTACATATCTGCAGAATTGTAAAAGACTCATGATTTTGTTCTCACTTTCGTGATACAGTTTATGTGTTACTCTTTCTGTAGTTTGAATTAGATGTTCATTTGTGCCCGTATGTGTAAATGCGATACTTTGTAATTGTAATCTTCAATGGCCGAATACCAGTTTGTCTGAGAACAATACGGTGAGGACCGGAATCCGAAATTGATATTTATGTTTTTGCAGTAAAGAGAAACAAACACTAACAGACATTTAAACAATACAGTAATAGAAATAGTCAATCACTACAGTAAATCCGAAATGTATCCGATATTCGTAGTGATAGTTTGTGCTGGACTTTGTAATATGCTACTGTGTTCATATAGTGCTCACTCTAAGGTAACTAGGAAGTAGCTAAACCTCTGTACTATGTTATCTTTTGTATATTTCTACACACTGGAAATTCGTTACTTTATTCCTCTTTGTTTTGTGAATTTGACAGTGTTGCCCTGGTTATGTTGATACCGATATGACTAGTCACAAAGGAGTGAAAACAACTGATGAGGGTAAGTCTGTATGTAACAATTCACTTCCTGGAACGTTTTGTTTATCAAGAACAAAAGTTAGTCTTCATAATTAATATTTATCTGGAGGCATGGTATCTCAGTATCTCAAATGAATTACAACAGATTTTCGCACCACTGTGTACCGTTTCAAATTGAAACGACCCACTGGAGCTGACATGCAAAGTATCAAAAGTGTTATAATTACTTTATCTGTAGTTGGGAAAACTCATATAGCCATGAAAACCTAAAGTGAACAACAGTGACAGTTACTGCTGAGACGAACTAACTTTCAAGTGGTTCTCTAACTGATGTCAACTCATGATGAAATCCTCCATGCCAACTAACTTTCCTCAAGATTTTCTAGAGGTGTAAATACTGGGGCAATAATTTTGTTCGAGAACTGTGCTGACACCCAATGAGGAGGTGTTTGTAGTTAGTGTTCAAAGCCATTGGTAGTCACGAATGTAGAAATTCTAGTTAGCCTCTTTTGAACTGGTTTGACTAGAGATTCCCGCATTGAGTTTGGCTTATTTACTGTAACTGCTTCATTGGTTACTGTGTATTGGGACGTTATAGACTCACTCAGTATGTGTTTCATGCGAGCATTCGGTTATCGGATTTAATCAAGTAATACACTGACCACAATATGCTGCAATTATCGAGTTGCTTATGATCTTGTATTTTAAATCGGAAATTCGTGTTTCTGACTATAGTTTCGAGTGAGTGAATAACTGTGTGTCATTGCAGTTATTTGAGAAGGAATGTTTCTTGAGTTCCGCACGCATGAAGCCAGTTCTGTTGTCAGGTTTTCTATTGAGAAAATATCAAATAGTTAAGTATGTAAATCACTTATTCTCCCAGTAGTGTGCGTAACACTTAAGTTACTTCTGTTACACAGGTTGCAAATGTTGAATATCTGAGAATTCTTATTTGTTTATTTATTTATCAGTAAATAGGGACCTGGTGATGTACATACTCATGTAAACATTTAGCTGGTTAAATAAAATGCTTAACGCGAGATTGTAATGCTAGTTACACGCAAAAATGTAATAAGAAAATCTTGAAATAAAGTGAGTAACTTAATAATTTATTACGATAACAGTCTATCCAAGCATACTAGATCAAATCGCTATCTGTAAATAAAATACAGACAAGAGATACCACAGTTTTCACTGCAATATAAATATGAAGACGTCTAACTACTCAAATGGGTATTGTTCATCGTCATGTCCAATTATTTGATCGTTGGGAGTTCGAGTTGACCTTCGGTTTTGTAAGTTCCCAAAACAATGATTTATTAATAGGTCTGTGACGAAGCCAAGTAGGTCAGAACGTGGAGGTATTGGAAGTTAAGTATACTTGCATACTTAAGTGAACCAGAGTTGGATAGTTATCCGACATGTTTCACTTATTCAAAGACTATTGGCTTAGAAACAGTATGTCATCTTCAATAAACGTCATAAGCATTAATTTCGTTGAGGAATGATGAGTTTGTCTATTCCAGCCGTGATGGTCGGTAGTTAGTAGACTGCAGTTACATACGTCTCATGGGTTCACTGTTTACTGTGTCTAGCTTCTCCTCATTCAGACTCTACGTTTTTCTCCAGCACAGTTTAACCTCATTCCTATTTTCCACTGAACTGTACATATCCTTTTTTAAGTACTGTTTTATCCAAAACAGATCTCACCGACTGTTATTCTAATAAACTGCTTTGCTACTAAATAGTGTGATAATTTATTGTTGGTATAGCATAAACACCCAATTATGTTTCTGGTTATTTTAGGAGCTGATACGCCGTTTTACTTGTCCACATTACCAATTGGAGTTAAAGAACCGATTAACCAATTTGTCTACGAAAGGAAAGTGGTCAATTGGCGCAAGTGATGTGCTGAGGAGCCTTTCAACTAATGTTTATCTGACTCGAGGTTATTGATAAAATTGTGCTATTTGTGTCAGTTGTGTGATTGTTACTTCACTCTTTTCTGTGTAGAATGCAAAACCTTGTACTGAATTGATGCCTCAAGATGAATACTGTAAACAATTCAGTAAATAACGTTTTTATTCATAAAATACTGTGTTCTTTTGAATGTTACAGCCGCATTATTTTGTCGAGTTGACGGATTTCGTATAAAGATTTCATATTTTCATAGGGAAGTAAAAAGTTGTGCGATGGTGTTATGTGTGACAAATGACTGATGAGAACATTGACTAATCAAAGTTCTAATTGTACAACTATACGTAAACGTCACTACCGAACAGTCAGATTTCAGATTGTCATGCAATAGCAATAAATATGCTTAAAAGTGTCTATTCATATACGCGAGATGACTGTCTTCAGGGAACCGATTATAATCAGTATGAGTTCGATGTTTTTTTATATAGCTGAAAATAAATATAACTTTGAGGATAACTTTCAATCTGAGTGACATTCAGGAACCTTACACTTTCCTACTTAACAAGATTTGCTTTGGACATATATAAAATTCGTGGTAGTTAACCAGTGAATTGTCAGTTTGCGATTGCATGTAATGTGACGGAAAATTGACCTCGGAACTAACCACAAGTATTGATTTTAGTTAAGTTGACCTATTATTTAACAAATCGGGTCCCACAAATATTTCATCAGTACACACGAAAAAATTTAAGGCAGAATACAACCAATCAGAAGACGCTAATTGTCTGCTAAAATTAACATATAAATATGTACATGAAAATCTATAAATACCTGTTGATTTTCTCAATAAACGATCTAATGACTGGCCCCTTTCTAATGTCGTCACACAATGAGCTGCAATTCACCAAAATCTCGCCGTCTATTTCAACTCAATACGCCTACTGATATTTTGAAACGAGTGTATGTTGAAGTTGGAGTATTTGTTTGTGTCACTGATGAGATGAGAAGGCGAGTGCTGTCGAAGTTACCACTGACAGGAGAATTGATACACTTACTCGCCAACATATTATTTCTACACATACACACGTAATACGCGCTTTCGATATCAGAGGTGTTTGCTAATGAAATGGGAGTGATTGTCATAGCAGATGGTGAACAGTGCAATGTGTCGCCCTCTTTATATAAGGTTGAATATGAGTATATAAATTATTGTCATAAGTGAGAAAATTCGTGGTAGTTAACTAGTGAATTGTCAGTTTTCGATTGCATGTAATGTGACGGAAATTTGACCTGAGAACTAACCACAAGTATTGATTTTAGTCAAGTTGACCTACTATTTAACAAATCGGGTCTCACATACTATATCATCCATACACTGACACACTAAGCTTGTTTGTGAGTTGCTAAGCCTAATTCACTTGATTAATCTCAGGTGAGCACGTCCATTCAGAAATATGAAGCTTTCTTTCTTACTGAAACAAACCCACTAGTTGAACAAGTATGCATCATACAAGTATGTGAAAACAGTTTGATTTATACTCATCATCAGCTGATAATATGAGTGAAACACAAGCCACCCGGTAACGATAAGAAGCTGGAAAGGTGTAGAGTAATGCTACACTAGAGATATTCTTCCAAAGTCATTGGGCTTCAGATAAGCCTTTTAGTAACCGAAAAGCAGATCCAGTGTCTAGAAAATCGACTCCAACAATCCCAATATTCATAATAAAAATAATGCTAATGATAATAGTAGTATTAGTTTTAATTTGAGAGAAGAAAATCTAACTAACTAACTAGTGGATCTTGGAAGGCAGAATGAAACCACGAGGGCTTGACGCATACAAGAATATAGATAGATAAAGGACGAGGGTGAGGTGAACCATGGAAGGGTAGACAACTATTTGCACACTACTTTTGATTTCCTTCTATTCCACTCGAGAGTAGTGTTGTTTGTATCCAGGAGTCAAGTAGAACAACTTGTCCTCATCAATGCAAAAGTGTGCATTTGAATAAATTGAATTACACCTGATTCATATGTCTGCTATGAATTGTATTCTAGACTTCAGCTCACAGCTAGCCAGCCGCTTGTATTCAAAGAGACAAAGAAAGTATTAGGGAAGCATGATTCTGAAATTTATCTCATTCCATCTTTTCGACGTGCTTACAGCTGATAATTTTTAAGATGCTTTGAATACTGCATTTTGCATCTGTCAACAATCTACTAGATTGTCAGCACCTGGTGTCATAACAACGACGCCACAATACTATCTTCACACAATGCAATCTAAAATTGGATTTCATGCATACTCACTTGTTTTATTCATCTATTGATGAAGGAGGCCGTTATATTTGGTGCCTCACGACCTCCTCACGCATGAGAATTTCTGACAAAAGTCAGCTAGCTAACCTTGAAGATTTGTGATACTTGGTGAGAAATATTCGTAGTCACTGATCGAGGGTTGTACTCCTCTCCTAATCATCAATCAAAACTACTCACTGATAGATATTATTTATGCGAATCACCTAGCATACGACAAACATCGGATTCATGAATAGTGGAGACTCGCATCAAAGAGATTCGGAGACGATTCATCGCTGAACTGGTAGATAATATCATCATCAATTCTGATTAACTCAGGTGGTGATCAAGCGGATCATAGCAATACATCTGATATTCTAATGAACCGATGGTGAAATCCTCGCTTATGTGTGTATGTGGAGAATTAATGTGTGGATGAGTGAACGTATCAGTTCTCTCGCCAGTGGTAACTTCGACAGCTCTGGCCTTCTCATCTCACCAGTGACAGTAACAAATACTCCGACTTCAACATACACTCGTTTCAAAATATCAGTAGGTGTAGTGAGTTGAAATAGACGGCGAGATTTTGGTGAATTGCAGCTCATTGTGTGACGACAGAAGAGAATGGCCAGACAATAGATCGTGTATAGAGAAAATCAACAGGTATTTATAGATTTTTTATGCACATTATTATATGTTATTTTTAGCAGGGAAACAGCGTCTTCTGATTGGTTGCATTCTGCCTGAAATTTATTTCGTGTGTATTGATTAAATACTTGTAAGACCCGATTTGTTAAATAGTAGGTCAACTTGACTAAAATCAATACTTGTGGTTAGTTCCGAGGTCAATTTTCCGTCACATTACATGCAATCGCAAACTGACAATTCACTGGTTAACTACCACGAATTTTATATATGTCCAAATCATGTTCACTTTAATCGGTTTGAAAAATGTTGGCATTGGATACATGATATTCATTATGATAAAGGTTTTTGTATTTCCCAATGAATGAAAAACAACACGATATTGTTTATACTGACGTTTCGCTATTTTATGCTAATGGCTTTATCAAAGTATTTTTAAACCGGAATTCGCAAAATCTCAGCATATATAAAACAGAGAGTTTAGGGGTGAGATGATAGACTTAGGTCAATTTTAAAGGACATCTTGAAAGTTAAAATACCAATGAAGATTACTAAACAAATTAACAAAGGTAATAGTAGATCTGTTATGGTATCAAAACAAAGTTAACTAAGACCCGATTCAATGGCTCATGAATTCTAACCTTTACCAATTCGTGATTTTAGCGCGACCCCAACTATTGTCGTTGGTGGAAATCCATCCACACGTGACTTCTAATTGGACCTCATTGGTCACGACTTCTCACTAGAACTGCAGGAAGCTCCAACCTGTAGCAAGTCACTAGCGAGCATCAGAATAATTTTCTATAGTTTGGTTTGTAAGGATTAGTTATGTTTTACGAGTTGATCACGGACTGATATCAGTTAGAGAACCATTGAAAACCAGGGAGTACTGGACAGCTGCTGTTTCATCCTAGTTTTGGGGATCATCGGCAGTACGCACCCACTGGGATTCGAACCCAGGACCTTCCGGTTACAAGGCAATTTCGTATACCATTCAGCCACTGGGACCCGATTCAATGCCGATGATTCCCAAAACTAGGATGAAACAGCAGCTGTCCAGTACTCCCTGGTTTTCAATGGTTCTCTAACTGATATCAGTCCGTGATCAACTCGTAAAACATAACTAATCCTTACAAACCAAACTATAGAAAGTTAACTAACATGATTATCTTTCGTTAATCTGGGGTCACTTTTCGTTGTCAAGTTGGTCATCTGGAAAGGATAAAAAAACCAAGTGTAGATTGTTGGATTTGTTCAGTGTTTAAAATCATAAAGGTAGTGTGTGTTTACATGGTGAACTTGGTTATCACATTCGTGTTGTAACCAGGTCAGATTCTGTTTTAGTCCATCATTCCTATTCAGGCAATTAGGATTCCACTTGATGTGAAGTGCTTCTGATATTAGACGTTCTTTATGGTTTCTGAAGTTTTTCTGGATTATTTCAATTTTGTGGCCTGATTCTATAGTATGTAGACCTATGGCTGAAGATTTTTCAAGCTTTTTTAGTTCAACCGGATTTCTCAGTGGTCGAAGAGATGCTCTACGGTGTTCATTTCTTCTGATTTTGATTTCTCGAGATGTTTGTCCGATGTATATCGCATCACATTCCAAGCACGCATTTGATTTTATAGACACAATGAGATAGAGAATCTTTAGGAATCTGGTCTTTTATATGGACAAGGTTGTTACGTAGTGTGTCTGATTTTTTCAAGAAAAATCTAACATCGAGGTGATTGAGTACATTACTGATATGATCTGATGTCTCTCTCTCTTTATATAATGTTGAATATGAGGATATAAATTATTGTAATAAGTGAGAAAATTCGTGGTAGTTAACCAGTGAATTGTCAGTTTTCGATTTCATGTACGCATCAATTCTCACAGCAGTAATAAAAAGAGGCGAAATTTTGTCATCGCGAACATTCCTCGACATGCAACATGCGTCGAAGTAATCAACATAATCGGTGATTTCCTGCGGTGAATCATTCATAGGAAACACTCCAAGATTATTTAATTCCATTTCCACGCGAAAACGTTATAATTAAT